TGCATCGGCGATTTTGCCCACTTTGAGCCCTATTTTCCACCAATTCCATTCTACTAGTCGGCAAAAATCATAACTATTTCGCTAAAGCTCCATTTTTTCTATCGAATGAGTACAAGAAACCACCCATTTACCAATTTCAACTATCCAATAAAGTGGTCAGAATTTAGCAATTTTGCCAATTTCACACAAATTTCAAAAGATGCCAATTTCCGAATAGGGTCCAGAATAAACAAGAAAGACACTCCTGGCACTAAAATAACAAGTTCTCTGTTCGTAAGTCACATCCCCAGGCCTCTCTTATATTTCTTTGGCTTTCCACTTTGAATTTTTATTCTTGCAAAAAAAATAAGATTTACTGTTATGCAGATTACTGCATTAGTGTAGAAATGGTATAAATAATATCAGCGCACTTGTGAAAGAATATTAGACTCACCAGTTGATGTGTATTGGATGCTTGGCATGATTTGTTTACTTTTGAACTTTGGTAAAAATCGAACATTTCTGCTACTTTGAGCTCAATTTCAAGGTAGTTTTTTTTGTAAAACCAATCAAAATCATCTCAATTTCTGTAATATGTCTTCCATTCTATAAAATGAGACCAAGAAAACTAGAATACAACAATAAATACCATACGAAAATACAGTGCAAAGTCGCTGCTTTAATCCAAAAACACGGTCAAAGTTTTTTTTTTTTCTCATTACGCACTGTGTGCTGCAGGATTTTTTTTTATACTGCGCACACTGACCACATAGACCAATTCTTACATATGTAGACCTACCAGCTTTCTCTCACTAGATTTGAGGGCGCTAGAATTTAGGCGTACTAGTACGTCAAAAACCCTGGGTCGTAAGACGTACATACTAGTACGTCCGAAACCCCCAAAGGGTTAATAATGAGTCAGGCTAAAGATTACAGAAACTCTGTTTCACATATTAAGAAGCTCTGATTATCTGATATTATTACAGTGAAGTGAAGCTAAATGGAAACTTTACCAGTTATATGGTAAGAAAATAAGGTGTGTGTGTGTGTGGAAGTGCATAAACTGTCAGTAAAAAATATTCCAAGTTTAAAGTTACTCTAAAATAGTGAAATTGATAAGTATGTGCTGCCATACAAATCCAAAAGATAACACTGCATCAATCATAAAAATGTTATTTTTTAACCCTTTCAGTGTTGGTCCCATTATATCACGGCTTTGAAGCCAGTGTCGGTTCCATAGTATGACACCATGAGCTCAGCTCACTCAGATAAGCTTTGAGCAGTAAATTTAGACCTACATATGAGAGAATGGGTCTATGCAGTAAGTGTGCACAATAGAAAAACTCCTGCATAATAAGTGCATAATAAGAAGAAACTGACTGTTTTTGTGCAAGACAGGTATACAGTGGACCCCCGCATAACGTTGGCATCGCATAGTGTTAAATCCGCATAGCAATACATTTTATCGCTAAAATTTTGCCTCGCATAGTGCTAAAAAATTCACTCAACGCGATTCGTCCGACACAAGTCCATGCGGCCTGAGCCAGCCTCACTTGTTCTGCCAGTGGCATTGTTTACAAGCCCTACTCCGCGGTAACATTCAAGCATACAATCGGAACATTTCGTATTAATACAGCCTTTTTATAGTGATTTCACCTGAAAAATAAGTGACCATGGGCCCCAAGAAAGCTTCTAGTGCCAACCCTACAGGAATAAGGGTGAGAATTACTATGGAGATGAAGAAAGAGATCATTGCTAAGTATGAAAGTGGAGTGCGTGTCTCCGAGCTGGCCAGGTTGTATAGTAAATCCCAATCAACCATCGCTTCTATTGTGTCCAAGAGAACGGCAATCAAGGAAGCTGTTCTTGCCAAAGGTTTAAATGTGCTTTCGAAACAGAGATCGCAAGTGATAGAAGATGTTGAGAGACTGTTATTGGTGTGGATAAATGAAAAACAGATAGCAGGCGATAGCATCTCTCAAGCGATCATAAGTGAAAAGGCTAGGAAGTTGGACGAGGATTTAATTAGAAAAATGCCTGCAACTAGTGGTGATGCAAGTGAATTTAAGGCCAGCAAAGGTTGGTTTGAGAGATTTAAGAGGTGTAGTGGCATACATAGTGTGATAAGGCAGGGTGAGGCTGCCAGTTAGGACCAAAAAGCAGCTGAAAAATATGTGCATGAATTCAAGGAGTACATAGACATTGAAGGACTGAAACCTGAACAAGTGTTTAATTGTGACGAAACAGGCCTGTTTTGGAAGAAACTGCCAAGCAGGACCTACATTACTCAGGAGGAAAAGGCCCTCCCAGGACATTAGCCTATGAAAGACAGGCTTACTCTTCTCATGTGTGCCAATGCTAGTGGTGATTGCAAAGTGAAGCCTTTATTAGTGTATCACTCTGAAACTCCCAGAGCGTTCAGGCAAAAGAATATCCTCAAGGCTAATTTGTGTGTGCTGTGGAGGGCACACAATAAGGCATGGGTCACTAGGGACTTTTTCTATGACTGGTTACACCAAGCATTTGCCCCCACTGTGAAAAATTACCTAACTGAAAAGAAATTAGACCTTAAGTGCCTCCTGGTGTTAGACAATGCCCCTGGTCATCCTACAGACTTGGCAGAGCGACTTTGTGGGGACATGAGCTTCATTAAGGTGAAGTTTTTGCCTCCTAATACCACTCCTCTCCTGCAGCCCATGGACCAGCAGGTTATTGCAAACTTCAAAAAACTGTACACAAAAGCTCTGTTTGAAAGGTGCTTTGTAGTGACCTCAGAAACTCAACTGACTCTAAGAGAGTTTTGGAGAGAGCACTTTAATATCCTCAATTGTGTAAACCTTATAGGTAAGGCTTGGGAGGGAGTGACTAAGAGGACCTTGAACTCTGCTTGGAAGAAACTGTGGCCAGAATGTGTAGACCAAAGGGATTCTGAAGGATTTGAGGCAAACCCTGAGAATCCTATGCCAGTTGAAGAATCAATTGTGGCATTGGGGATGTCCTTGGGGTGGGAGGTTAGTGGGGAGGATGTGGAAGAGTTGGTGGAGGAGGACAATGAAGAACTAACCACTGATGAGCTGCTAGATCAACTTCAACAGCAAGAGGCCACACCTGAGGAAATTGCTTCAGAGGAGGGGAGAGAGAAATTGAAGAAGTTGCCTACTTCAAAGATTAAGGAAATCTGTGCAAAGTGGCTTGAAGTGCAAACCTTCATGGATGAAAATCACCCTCAGACAGCTATTGCAAGCCGTGCTGGTGACTATTACACTGACACTGTTGTGAAACACTTTAGGAAAGTCATAAAGGAACGAGAGGTACAGGCCACTATGGACAGATATGTTGTGCGACAGAAGTCCAGTGACTCTGAAGCTGGTCCTAGTGGCATTAAAAGAAGGGAAGCAACCCCGGAAAAGGACTTGACACCTCAAGTCCTAATGGAAGGGGATTCCCCTTCTAAACACTAAAACCATCCAGTCTCCCCTCCTCCTATCCCATCAATCATCACCACATCTTCAATAAAGGTAAGTGTCATGTAACTGTGCATGTTTTCTTAAGTTTGTGTGTATTAAAATTAATATTTCATGTGGTAAAAAATTTTTTTTCATACTTTTGGGTGTCTTGCACGGATTAATTTGATTTCCATTATTTCTTATGGGGAAAATTAATTCGCATAACGATAATTTCGCATGACATTGAGCTCTCAGAATCAGATTCAGAATCTCTACAACCACGGTGCTCTAAACACCACCTCCAAGGCTGAGGGACTGATTACCTCATCTTTTGCATATAGTTCTTCTGGTTTCTTATTATGTCCAAGAATCTGTATTGATAAAGCCACTGGATGGCGAAACGTCAACAATAAAGATAACCAGATGTTGCACAAGTGACTGTTTTTGGTTTAAAACAGCAACTTTGCAGTGTATTTTAGTATGGTTTTTATGGTTGTTGTCTCGGTTTCTTAGTCTTATTTGACAGAATGGAAGATATACAACAGAATGAGATGATTTTGATTAGTTTCAGGACAGAGTAGCTTGAAATTGAGCTCAAAGTAGTGGAAATGTTCAATTTTTGCTGATATTCCAGATTACACAAATGATGTCACTTGTCCAATATGCGTCCAACTGGTATATTGCAATGATCTTATTTATACAATTATTACAATAATGCAATAGTCTGCATAACAGTAAATTTTCTATTTTTTTTGTGTGAATAAATATTCAAAATGAAAAGCAAGTGTAATATAAGAGGGGCCTGGAAACATGACTAAGGAACAGAGGAAATGTTTATTTAGTGCCAGGAATGTCTACATTGTTTATTCTGGACCCTATTTTCAAACTGGCAATTGTTTAATTTTTGTACGAAATCGGCCAAATTACTGGTTATTGATCACTTTATCGAGTAGCTGAAATAGGTAAATGGGCGGCTTCTTGTACTCAGTCAATAGAATATAAGGAATACTAGCAAATTTGATATGATTTTAGTGGACTGGAACAATGAAAATGGCCAAAAAATTGAACGCAAAGTTGGCGAAATCACCGATTCGTAAATATTGCCGAGACTGCTAATTTTGCAAGAGTATAATTCTATAAGTTTTCCATAAATTTTGTTTTGGTTTCATTACCTTCAGAAAAAGATTCTCTTATCATTTCATAAGATAATTTTTATTATACTTTTATTTTTTTTAATTCTTTGACCCTGCAAGCAAGTTTGAGAGCAGGGGTGTTGATGCTGAAAGGGTTAACTACATTAAAAAAATCAGAGCAGAAATTCTGCTAGCATATTTTAAAACATCTTAATTTGTACTTACTGTATTAAATATAAATAGCAAACATTAATATAAACATAAAAGTTCAAAGAATTTAATACATTGCATATAAGAATGCAATACTTTCTTCAAAGGAATCAAGATGTAGAGATACAAATACATTTTCATTGTTACACATAAGAATAAAAGAGCTTTATCAACATTGTTGACTGGTATGAAAACCATATGATTATTTATTGGTAAACCACAAGACACATACTGTTAATCCTCAGGTTGAGATATTTCTCTACCAGTCTCTGAGTTGTGAAGCTGAATTCACCAAACAACTCATAATTTTCTTCCTTCCATGACAGGTACGCTCGTACAACCTCTTCTTCGCCTATATCAGGTGAGGTTATGAAGGCTGAAAGACTCCACACCTTCTGGTACTCTAGTTGTGGCATTGAGAGTTGGAAACGTATACCATACTGCCGCCTGTCTACTCCAAACTCCAATGCTGCCACCTGTGTGATGCCTTCCCGTGAACCAGCCAATCCTGCAAAGTGTCCATTCCACACTTATTTAAGAAGTTAGGGGAGATATAAGCAACTATTGGCAGAAAGGTGGGCTAATGCAAGTATGGGTAGTGGGGAGGTTAAAGAGGGATGGGATAGTTTTAAAATGCAGCATTAGAATGTGGGGCACAAGTTTGTGGCTATAGGAGGGTGGGTACACAAGGAAAGAGGAGTGATTGGTGGAATGATGAGGTAAAGGGAGCGATAAGAGAGAAAAAGGTAGCTTATGAGAGGTTTTTACAAAGCCGAAGTGATATAAGAAGGGCAGAGTATATGGAGAGTAAAAGAAAGGTGAAGAGATTGATGAGAGAGTGCAAAAAGAGAGCAAATGATAGAGTGGGAGAGGCATGGTCAAGAAATTTTGATGAGAAGAAAAAAATTTGGAAGTGAAATAAACAAGTTAAAAAACCCTAGGGCACGAATGGATAAGTCAGTTAAAAACAGAGTAGAGAAGTTAGTAAATGGGGAACTGGCGGTACTGGGTAGATGGCAGGAATATTTTGAGAAACTTTTAAATGTCAATGAAGAAAGGGAGGCAGTAATTTCATGCACTGGCCAGGGAGGTATAACATCTTTCAGGAGTGAAGAAGAGCAGGATGTGAGTGTGGAGGAGGTGCGTGAGGGATTATGTAGAATGAAAGAGGGTAAAGCAGCCGAAACTGACGGAATCATGGCAGAAATGTTAAAAGCAGGGGGAGATATAGTGTTGAAGTGGTTCGTATTTTTGTTTAATAAATGTATGAAAGAGGAGAAAATACCTAGAAATTGGCAGAATGTGTGTATAATTCCTTTATATAAAGGAAAAGGGGACAAGAGAGATTGTAAAAATTATTGGGGAATAAGCTGACTGAGTATACCATGTAAAGTACTATATGGTAGGGTTATTATTGAAAGAATTAGAAGTAAGACAGAGAGCAGGATTGCAGATGAGCAAGGAGGCTTCAGAATGGGTAGGGGATGTGTAGATCAGGTGTTTATATTGAAGCATATATGTGAACAGTATTTAGATAAAGGTAGGGAAGTCTTCACTGCATTTATGGATTTAGAAAAGGCATATGATAGAGTGGCTAAGGGAGCAATGTGGCAGATGTTGCAAGTGTATGGAATAGGTATTAAGTTACTAAATGCTGTAAAGAGCTTTTATGAGGAGAGTGAGGCTCAGGTTAGGGTGTGTAGGGGGTAGGGAGATTACTTCCCAGTAAAAGTAGGTCTTAGACAGGGGTGTGTAATGTCACCATGGTTGTTTAATATATTTATAGATAGGGTTGTGAAGGAGGTAAATGCTAGGGTGTTAGGGAGAGGGGTGAGATTCAATTATTGGGAATCAAATACAATATGGGAGTTGACACAGTTACTTTTTGCTGATGATACTGTGCTTTTGGGGGATTCTAAAGAAAAGTTGCAAAAGTTAGTGGACGAGTTTGGGAGGGTGGTAAAGGTAGTAAGTTGAAGTAAATATAGATAAGAGTAAGGTGATGAGGGAGTCAAACAATTTAGATAAGAAAAAATTGGATATCACATTGGAGGGAGGGAGTATGGAAGAAGTGAATGTCTTCATATATTTGAGAGTTGACATGTCAGTGGATGGGTTTATGATGGATAAGGCAAACCACAGAATGATGGAGGAAAAAAGGTGAGTGGTGCATTGAGGTCTCTGTGGAGACAAAGAACCTTATCCGTGGAGCCAAAGAAGGGAATGTACAAGAGAGAATACTGTGGTACCAACACTCTTATATGGGTGTGAAGCATGGGTGGTAAATGCTGCAGCAAGGAGGCAGCTGGAGATGTCATGTCTAAAGGCAATGCAATGTGTGATGTAAATATTATGCAGAGAATTTGTAGTGTGGAAAATAGGAGGAGGTGTTGAGTTACTAAAAGTATTAGTAACTGTAAGGGGCTGTTGAGGTGGTTTGTTCATTTAGAGAGAATGGAACAAAGAATGACTTGGAGAGCATATAAATCTGTTGGGGGAAGGAAGGCAGGCTAGGGGTCATCCCTGAAAAGATTGGACGGAGGGGGTAAAGGAGGTTTAGTGGGCAAGGGGCTTGGACTTCCATCAAGCGTGTTTGAGTGTGTTAGATAGGAGTGAATTGAGACGAATGGCTTTTGGGGCCTGATGAGCTGGAGTGTGAGCAGGGTAATATTTTGTGAAGGGATTCAGGGAAACCAATTAGCCAGACTCGAGTTCTGGAAATGGGAAGTACAATGCCTGCACTTTAAAGGAGGGGTTTAGGATACTGGCAGTTTAGAAGGACGTCTAAACCATCATAGCCGAGCGCTTCTGCAAAGACAGTGATTATGTATGAGTGATGGTGAAAGTGTTGAATGATGACAGTTTTTTCTTTCTTTTTGGGTCACCCCTGCCTTGGTGGGAAACAGCCAATGTGTTAAAAAAAATAAAATTCCTTTCTATATTTCAACAATCATTTTTTATTTATTTAGCCTATATCTTTCTTCTTTTAACACACAGGCCTTTTTCCACTGAGGTACAGGATATTCAGCATCATTCTTTCAATTGCTGTCTTGTCAGTAGTCTACTGAAATCAGATAGGTCCTCCAAATTGCAACATCTTCACCCCTCTTTCAGAGTCCAAGCACTGCACTTCCCATGAATGGCAAAGCTAAGATTTTTGGTGAGCAGGACAAGTTATCTCAAGGCCAACCCCCCTTTAGTGTCAACATCTGATCTGGAGAATGTTAACTGCACACACAAAAATCACCGACATTTAATCCTTTAGACATTCAGAAATGTTGATTTATTCTCGGTAATATTCAACATAAATTGCTGGATTTTTGTAGAGTACAAAAAATAATGTGTGTTTTAAGTGAACAAATTATAAACTTCTTCTCTTTTTAGAGGGGTGTTAATGTTGCAGTTTAGTGGGCAAGGGGCTTGGACTTCCATCAAGCATGCTTGAGTGTGTTAGATAGGAGTGAATTGAGACGAATGGCTTTTGGGACCTGATGAGCTGGAGTGTGAGCAGGGTAATATTTTGTGAATGGATTCAGGGAAACCAATTAGCCAGACTTGAGTCCTGGAAATGGGAAGTACAATGCCTGCACTTTAAAGGAGGGGTTTTTGGAAACTGGAAGTTTAGAAGGACATCTAAAGCATCATGTGACAAATTCTGCAAGACAGTGATTTGTATAAGTGATGTGAAAGTGTTGAATGAAAAGTTTTTCTTCTTTTCGGGCACCCCTGCCCCTTTGGTGGGAAACGGCCAACGTGTTAAAAAAGATAAATTCCTTTCCTTTTTTCACAAATATTTTTATTTATTTACCTATGCCTTTTTCTTTTAACACACAGCCTTTTTTCACTGAGGTACTGAATTACCATATTCTTTCAATTGCTGTCTTGTCAGTAGGGGTGTTTAATGTTGCAGTTTAAAACGTGGTAAAGCACCTTTGGCAGCAGTGATGGAGTGAATGATGGTGAAAGTTTTTCTTTTTCGGGCCACCCTGCTTGGTGGAATCGGCAAATTGTTAATAAAATAAAAATAAATTTATAACTACATACATAACTCGAATATATGTATAACTTTTTTTTTTTTCAACAAGTCGGCCGTTCCCAACCAAGGCAGGTGACCCAAAAAAGAAAGAAAATCCCAAAAAGAAAATGCTTTCATCATCATTCAACATTTCACCACACCACACATAATCACTGTTTTTTTCAGAGGTGCTCAGAATACAACAGGGTTAGAGAATACACATTAAAAATACACAACATATCCCTCCAAACTGCCAATACCAAAAGCTCCTTTAAAAGTGCAGGTATTGTACTTCCCTTTCCAGGACTCAATCCGACTATTGAAAATACCGGTTTTCCTGAATCCTTCATAAATATTCCCGCCCCACACTCCAACAGATCGTCAGGTCCCAAGTACCATTCGTCTCCATTCACTCCTATCCAAAAGCTCACGCACGCTTGCTGAAGTAAACAACCCCTTGCCCACAAAAACCTCCTTTACCCCCTCTCTCCAACCTTTCGAGGACGACCATACCTCGCCTTCCTTCCTATAGATTTATATGCTTTCTATGTCATTCTATTTGATCCATTTCTCTAAATGACCAAACCACCTAACAACCCTCTTCTGCCCTTTGACTAATATTTTATTTCTCCACACCTTTCCTAATTTCCACACACTGAATTTTCTGCATAATATTTACACCCAAAATTGCCTTGACAGGAAATCTCCACTGCCTCCAACCACTTCCGCTGCTGCATTTACCACCCAAACTTCACACCATAAAGTTGGTACTTATATCTTTCTACTTCCCTTCTTTGCCTCCATAGATAAAAGTTTTTGGGCTCCCATATACCTCAATGACCACTCAAACCCTTTTTCTCTATAATCTATGATAACCCCATCCTTTATAAATCCATCCACCGACACGTCAACTTTCCAAGTAATGAAAAACATTCACTTTCTTCCATATTCCTCCCCAATTTGATAAAAATTTTTTTATCAATCATTGATACCCTCAAACACTTACTCTTTTCTATGTTCACTTTCAACTTTCTAACTTTACAAACATTCCCAAACTCATAATAACCTTTTAAATTTTTCTTTAGAATCCAATAAGCACAGTTCATCAGCAAAAATAACTGGTTAATTTCCCTTTTGAAATTGATTCCCATGATTAATCCCACCCCTCTCCCCAACAAACCAGAAATTTTCTTCTTTTACAACCCTCTTAAATATTTAAAAACCATGGTACATTACACATCCCTGTCTAAGACCTACTTTTAACGGGAAAGTGGTCTCCCCTCTTCTACACAAACCCTAACCCGAGCCTCACTATTCTCATAAAAACTCTTACAGCATTTAGTACTTACCCCTATTCCATATACTTGAACATCTGCCACATGCTTCCCTATCCACTCTATCATATGCCTTTCTAAATCATAAAAGCAATAAAAACTTCCCTACCTTTATCTAAATACTGTTCACATATATGCTTCAATGTAAAACATT